ACGGTTTTTCTCTACATGTATAAATTTTATTTTTAAATATACAAAATTTATTTAAAACTTTAAATAAAGGCAAATTTGATCAGGAAATGCATTTTATTTCGACGCTGTTTTTTTACCCAAAGTTTCCCATTAAAAAACACTGTCAAAGGATTTTTTCTTTTATTTCTTCAAAATAATTTGTGTGTTTAAGGAGCAGTTACGTGACTGTGATGAGACTGGAAACACCTGCAAATTTGAAAATGACATTAGTAGTTTAAGTCGTCTATTTGCAAGGATTACCACCGAATGCTCACAGTCATCACAGCGGATTTTGTCCAACTGATCTCATTGTTCGCACTAAAAATTCCAAAAGTTCGGCTTTCACGAGTATCAAATTTACAATCCAAACTTTTATAATGCTGCTGAAATCTTGTCTTTATTATAAGTTCTGACCTTTATTATGTTTCATTTTTCTCCTTTGTTCATTTTTTTTTTTTCATGTTTTGTTATGTTTTGCTGGCGATGCATTGTTCGGTTACCTGTTGAAGCAAACGGATAATTGATGGTGCATCAGTAAAAAACTAGTATATTCTTTAATCTCTTTGCTTTTTTGAGTATTTCGTATACAAAAACTGTGTAATTTATCATGAAAGATGATATAAATCAAGAACCGGGAATACGGGTCTTTGATCTTCTTCTTATTTTTCTTCTTTGGATTTAGCTTCTGACAGGAGATTTCTTTATGGTTGTCGTATGTATAAAGCTATAGATGTTATTGGAAGAATCGTAGTCAATGAACTGCAAATAAAACTGCTTAACCATTATCAACTGTGCTTCACTACTGCTTCTGATTCATCAATATTTCTTGATTTTTGTTATTCGGCGAAAAACATTCAGTTTCGATAAGCAATTGATTCTAAAATTAAAGTATTCTTAAAAAATTATCAAAAAAAGTGATAGATATAGGTCATTGTTGAACAAACAATCTTTGTAGTATTTTGAAATTTACTGATACGTTGCTGAACGAGAATCCTGAAAATAAATATAGCAGCTCTTCAACCAAACAAAATTTCCTTAATGAGGCAGTAATGTAAGTAATTTGGCATAATACTGAATTTAATGTTTACTATTACACTGTTATAAAAGTAGTGTCTTAAAATAGCTGTTATAAACGTAAGATTTAAACCAACTACTATTGGGCTTAATACGGAAAAAGATATATGTTTTGCAATATTGGCTTCTCGCTTACAATTAAACCAGCTGTCTCCGTTGGGGGTTAGAATTATTGATAAGAATAGGAAGACAACAGAAAAAGAGCACTTTAGCACAGATGTTTGGAAAAGCATCTGCAGGAGGATTGCCACCACCATAATTGATCCTTGGTTTGGCCGTTGGCTATTTTGGTTGAATATCAACAACATTAGCCAACAAGGATCCTAAGGTTTAGACCTAATTAAGAAAAAACAAAAAAAGGAAAAAAGAGGATAATTTTTTTCTTCATTTTTTGTCGGTATATATCAACGATTTGATTGTTGTTTCTGAATCAAAACTAATTTTGTAAAAATTTTTGATTGAAAAAGTTTGAGTTAGTGATTTATTCGTTGTATAAAAATGATTAGAAAGATAAGTTAGAAATTTAAACAAATTAAACGACTGTTTACTGCAGATTCGGACAAATTTGGATTAAGAATCTTATTAAGTGTCATTTTGATGTCAAATAATGCATAATTTATATAATTTTGCTTTATACAGTTGTAACTTTATGCAGATGCAAATGAGTGAATAGGTGTTTGAAAAAAAAAGAAATCAAATGATCGAAGCATCAAATTTTTAAGCAAAAAAAAAAAAACATTTTACTTTCTAGTATCAATAAGCAGAAACCTAAATTTCGGTTGAATTTTACCAGCATAAAAAAAAAAACAAGAAGAATAGAGTAGAAATTTTTTTTTAAAATTTATCAAACATAATTTTGTTTGTTTCCAGCAGATAAAAAAAATTTTTTTTTATCAAGGCCGTTATTGAAATCAAATAATCTTATATCCTTTTTTTTCTTTTTTAATTGAGCAGATGACAATACTGCAGATAATAATATAATAAAAAAAGAAAAAAAGAGTTGAAATTCATGAAATATCAAAAAACGGCTACCTTTCTCTTTATTTTTTATTTATTTATTTTTTTTTTTTGTTTAACGAAAGCATATGTACAAAAAAGCAAAGCAAAAAAGAGAAAAAAAAATGCTCATGTTTGTATAAAAATTATGCAATCGACAATATCTGATTAGATGTGCTTTGCTTTGAAATATGCCAGCAGGTAAGTAAAGTATTGTTGTATTGTTTATTGAATAAATTGTAGCATAGCCTAACAGCTGGCTTATAAAGAAACTAATTCACCAGGTGGGATCAGAATCATCAAAAAAAAAAAAAAAAGCATTGAC